ATGAAGCCATTGCCATCCTTGTCGAAGTGACGGAGGCCTTCAATGAAGTCATTGGCTGTGTCTCCGCTGCGCGCCTTCGAGATTGCCTACCGACAAGCACACCTCACATATTTTAGATTTGCAACAATGCAATAAATAAACATACCAAAATTTGTGCAATTAAAAAAAATTAAAAATATTCATTAAACACCAAAAAGATTGTAGTAAAACAAATAACTTTTGAAAAAATATACATAACAGTAAATTAAAAAAGTTGTTATCTTAAGTTATTCTAGTTAATCTGGTGGTAGCCTCACTAGCCACACTAGCCACACTAGGCAATGCCTGTATCGTTGCCACCAGACATCACATATACAATATAATCCAAGCACAAAGTTACAGAAACACTCTCACGGCAGTGTTTCAGTATTTAATTATAAGTTAATCGAGTTTAAACTTTGCTGCACTTAAAATGTAATAGAAAAATAATTTTATAAATAACGAGAAAGGGAATAAAACTATGTACATGTGTGTGTAAATATATATGGTATGAATATGATAAGAGATAACATATAAATGTATTAAAGTATCACAATTTAAAATTGTCATAGAACTTAATAAGGTTATGATTTAATCTTAAGAAAGTTCTCTGTATCAGTGAAGTTTCAAGTGAGCAGCCAGTCCTGTAAGTTGGATTTGGCTTGTGACATAGATTTTTCTAAATTTAAAATTAGACACATGAGGTACGGTAGGTATTTGAGTAGTTTCAGAAACATCCATTTAGTAATTAGTGTTATCAGTATTTGTTTAATGAGCCATTGAAAAGTACTTATGTAATTAGGCACTAACCGGTTTTGTCAACGACTGCATGTCTCTTATAGGAAAAGGCAATCTCACTATGGTTCAAATTAATTAAAAAGTTAAATTTCCATTGAAAACAAAAATAGTACATACTTGATAAATAGGCAGAAAGACCTCAAATGATATTCTCTCATCGGGCTTGAGGTGTAGGGTGCACTTCTTGACATCTGACTCGGTGGGGTTCTGGCCCAGCGCCCGCAGCGCGTCGCCGATCTGCGCGACGTGGATCTTACCGTCGCCGCGCGAGTCGAACAGCTGGAATGCTTCCTGGAATTCTAAAATCACATAAGGCTTAGCCAATGAACATCTTTAAAGTGAATGTAAAAGTGTCACAAATGTACCTTCTACAGAAGTAAGATTGAGTTTAGTGGGGGGCTCGTACATGAACATGATGGAGCTGGCGGACGCTCGGCGCGGCACTGTGTGCCCACTCCATCAGAATTACTTTAAAATACGAACCATATAAGGAAACTAGGGCGCTTGCAAAAGTCGACGCCTTCGGTAGGAAGGTTGATTGACGTGAGTCACAGTCGCACAGCGAACGAAGACGACGACGCTACTCAAACTCACTATTCTCATGTACTCATTATTTCTTACGCCTAAAGCGAATTTTGTTTATAAAAGTCGTAAATATCATCCGTTGCACACCATGCAGGTATGCACACAATATATAAAAGTGATTCTTAATTACCGTTTTCATTTAATGTATGACTCACCTGCTAACTGGTCCTCGGAATAGCCCGCCTAGAACAAAAAAAATTAAGCAACTTTATAAAATGATATTATTGTTATGCGTTATTTTACAATTCAATAAATACCATTGCAAGAGTCTGAAATATTAAGAAGTCTCACAAACAATAAAAAATAAATTTCGCGTCTTGCCCTGTCAAATGACAACGTCAATGTTATGTCAACAAAAAAAACAGCAACGATAAAGGTTAACAACGCTGTCTCACAGAGCACAAATCCCTCGCGTAAGAGAGGAACGAAGTATTAAATAATTATTTATCTTGGCGTGTTAAAATTAAAACAGCATAATTGTTAGCTGTAAGTTGTTAAATGGATTAACTTTTGCGTGCTGTGACCACTGACATGTATAATGAACAGGCGATAAAACGTGACGTTTCGTGCCTTTTTGATATCCGCCATTTTGGAAATTCACTAAGAGACGGATAAATCCTTCTTTTCGATATTTTTTCATAAATGTTGAGATTTTTTTTGAATGAATTGTCCTCTAAATTATTAACTAATAAGAAAATAATAATTTTAGTTAAGTTTGATAAATATTTAAATCGAATGTCGATAATTCAAAATTGTTCGCTATGCGTGTTTGTTTCGTCACTACTGTATTGTGTGTCTATTAAGTATAGCATTAGCCTTCATACAAATTGACTTCAATACTTCATATGCGTCATTTATCAAACTAATCTATCTTATTTAGACAAACTATAAACCTGTGAAAATGTAACCCACAATCAGTATAATACTCGCTTCGGCAAGCCTCCACGACACAAATTCTTCCCATTTCAACTAAAATATTCAAGTCCGAATCGTGACATCATGTGGGGTTGTCAGTTCAGGTGTCCGAATTTCAAACAAGTAAAAGTAAATCTGTACGCTAATCATTAAATTTTTGTTTGAATAATGTATTACACTGAGCAACATTTAATATTGTTTTAACATGTTGGTAACAAACTATTATTAATATTTAGGAACATTTTAAAAGTAAACATTTTTTACTGCATTAAATTACCTCAACTCCCCATTTTTTTACAAACAACGAAAGGATTGATATCTGGCAACTCTAGGTCACTGTTAGAAAGGGACACAGTGGACACTTGTAGGCCTCTCACTCGGTTTCAATTTTATTTAGCGTGCAACAAGATTTTTACGCCCTTGGTATAAGGTTTTATTTTCTTTGATTTAACTGTAAAATGTAAAGATAGAACACTTTCCTGTTGTACGTACCTAATACTTATTTATTACTTCCATGTTCCATGGGACAGCTACAATACGACAAGGATCTTTTGACACTTGACACTTTGACGACATACGTAGGAGGTCGCTAGTGAGCTATCATCATTTAGTTAATAAAAACTTTGTCACACGCTTCGAACATTAACATTATATTCTCTCGAAGTTCTTACCTGAAAACAAAGTGGCTGAAAAATAAAAAAAAAACTTTCTGCTTAACAAGCCCTGTTTCTTAAAAGTTAAAGTTCTTTTTCGTGCTCTGAAAATATGTTTTGGTAAAAAAAATCACTGATCGTTTAACTAATACAGGTATATAAATAACTAAGAGAAATAAATTAATCAGCGTTGAATTGTTACTTGAAAAATCATTAGAACAACCGTGTTTCTAAACGCAAGAAGCCATTGATCTTTTTCATTCG